AGTTTTGGCACTAGTTGTGGTAGTTATGCCATTAACAAGTGAAAGGTGCAGTAATATAAAATGGGTTTTGATTTAATTGTGCAATTCCATATATATTTTTTCTGTTGGGTTTTTGATGTAAGGGGTTGCTGCTTATAACCAAAGTTGAGTCTTTGTTTGAAGCATTTTCTGCAAACATCTATAAATGGGTGCATCTGTCTTTTAATACTATTTTGATGTTTGCTTTCACCTAATAATCCCTAATAACGTGATTCATTCATGAAAAAAGAGAACTTTGATTCATTTAATTCTGACTAACTTCTGTTATTAATAGAGAGCAGGCAAGACAATACAGCAATGCTCTAACAGTTTCATTTCCCTTTGCATGTTTGATGCTTCTGCGTTTGACGGTAATTCTTCTCTATGTAGGTGCCCTCGAAAACCAACATGGCAGGGAGATGAAAAACACATAGATGGCGGTGGCGAAGAAAATTATGATGATAAACAAGTCAGTAATGGCACCAATGCTTTTACAAGAATTCGTTTCCCTTTTTATCTTTCTATATTTGATGCTTCTTCTTCTTTTTACATGCATAGCTATGCTCACAAAGCATTTGTCTGGTGGAAAGGATTTGAGTATGATTTTAATAGTATCACAATTTTGAAGATTATTTATCTATCAAGCAACAAATTAAAAGGGGAATTTTCATAGCAGATATGGAGTCTCTTTGAATTGGTTCAATCGAATTGATCAAGGAGCCATTTGAATGGAAGGCACTGCACCAGATATTGGACCATTGAGACAATTCAGTCACTTGATTTGTCAAGCAATAGACTTTCAAGTCACCTCTCTTCAAGCATGTCCCTTTTAAATTTTCTGAAGTGTCTTGGACCTTTCATATAACAACTTTCCTGGGAGAACTCCATCTGGCTCCCAAACCGGCACTTTTAATGCTTCTGCATTTGCAGGTAGTCCTGCACTTTGTGGGCTTCCTCTAACACCAACATGCCAGGGTGATGAAAAACCTACGGTTGGTGGTGTCAAATACAATCAAGATGAAGAAGGTGAATTCTGGAGAGGTTTTAAACCATGCATGGACCTTGAAATGGCTTTCAGCTTTGTTGGGGTTCTAGCTTTCAAGTTAGATCATCCATGGAAACATTTTTGTTCCCTGCCGTTCAACTCCATGAAGATTTGCCTCAGCAACTTGAAGGACTTCTTCCTCTGTTTGATTGTGGCAGCACTTTGTCTAGTGGTGACAGTGAATGCTGTCAGATTGCGAAGAAAGTTCAAGTTTTAGGTACCATCACTCATTCCCAAGAACATGACGAATAAGGTATGTTTTAACTTTTTGCCATCTTGTTCAAGTGCATTTCTTCATTGAAAATAGAAGTCAATCACCTATGATTGTTTTTTTCAGGTTCATTTCGCTTCTTCAGACTTGAAGGATTCAAGTTTTACTAAGTTTCTTTCATCTAAAAGAAAGGAGGGGAGAGAAATTCCAAGCTTTCTTCTCAGTTACTACAGTCTACAAGATCAACTCTTAATTTCCTCTTTGCTTGTAATAAATTATGCTTCATGTTTGTTTTGTTGTATCATTTCATGTTTTGCATGTTTGATTCCATCATTCCAACATGTAGTTTGTAAGGAATGAAGAACAAGCTCCATTTAAAATAAGGCAGAAGTATGAGTTCTGCAAGTTTGATGTTGTTCTTTTTACCAACTTGTTTTGTTGATTGAATGGTTATTACCCAGATCAAATTTTTATAAAGCAAATGAGCAGTGGATGTTTTATGATTCCATTAACGTTTTTCTAATTAATAATTAGAATGAGGAAGATTTACTTGATAACACCTCCCTCAGGTTCCATTCTTCATCATTCAACCCGACACATGGCTGTGCTCATCACCTTTGAAAATGATTGTCTTAGGGAGGGAGGGTTCCTTCAGCTTGTCTAGATTTAACTGGAGATGCAAACTTCCTCTGGACTTGATTCAACAACTAGAGATGATGAAGTTTGGTGCATAGAGGGAGGGAAACAACCACTTCTCACGTACATCTCATCAATTTATGGCATTCTTTTCTTTTTCTTTATGCTGAAGCAAAAAAAAAAGGAAGCACAAAAGGGGTCAGAATCATCAATAATGCAGAACAAAACAAGTGTACTCAACTATGGCACCCTCTGTTTTCTGATCAAATGTATGAGTCCTTGCCTGAAGATAACCCCTTGCAAACCGGAACAGCCCACTTCCACCGATCACCGGCATCTCCCTCACCTTTGAAAACACCGTGTTCCTCCCCAGCACCGTGATGGTGCTGCTGTTGTATTTCCCTTCCCTGAAGGCGAAATTCATAGACATCAACAGGCCAATTTCTTCTTGCGACGCCAGCGCATAGAACCCTTGTGCTCTTCCCACCATTTTGGAACTCATTTCCGGCCCGTCAGTTAAGGGATCGTCGATCATGTTGATGATACCGAAACCAGTGGCACTTATGTTGGAGGGCTATTCCAACCGGACGGAAGTGGGTTTCCGGCGGCTGACAACGTCGTGCCAGTAGAGACGAAAATGGCTCAGCTTTTCCTTCACTAGCCCGATTGACTTAGGGTCCAATCCTGCGACGAAGTCATGACCTTTTTGGGTGGCTTCGATGATGGCGAAGGAAGAGAGAATGGAATAGACGATGAAAGGGGAAGCAACCAGGATGGGAAGATTTGTTCTACCCATATTTGATCTGGGTTTTGGTATCTACAGACGAGATCAGTTGCCTATTTATTGTGGAATATGTATTAAGAAATGGTTCAGTGAAACAGGCTCAGGCGTGGGGTCTTTTTGCCATCATAGTGGCAGGTTGTTGCTGAGGTTCGTGGGCCCAATTTCAAGGACTTGCGGTCAGAGGCAAAAATATGCTCCAATTCTTAAATTGGACGTAAAGGTTTCCAT